GCCGCGCCCGGCCGCTGGCTCCACCCAGACTCGCGAGCTCGTGGGGGCGGGCCGAGTACCGGTTTTCTCTCCTCCCCGCCCCGCGCTCCAGCCCCTTCCCACTCCCTCCCAACTTTATTTCTTGGCCCAAGTGAGCAGACACCGCTGGTGCAGGCCCCTGCAGAAGGGGAGCCTGCTTCGGAGGGGTGGTCCCCACACCCCCTTCCCGTCCCAGCCACACCCGGCGCCAGGGGACACTGGAAGGAGGACGTCAACTTCCCGGCTCCCCGGCGTGTGGAAGTGGGCGGCGGCCTTCGGAACCGGCCGCTTTCAACACGGGCTGTGGCACTGCCCTAGTCGGTGGTCGCGTTGCTGAAAGTTCTCGGGAGACAAAACATCTGCAGAGACGAGGGGGCCGCCCCAGCCCAGAGGCAGCCACTGGGTTCGCATCGAGGAGTAGCCAGGAAAACCCCCCTTAGAAACAAAAAGCAAGCTAGCCTCGGTGACCTGCCATAGGACGCTCTCCGACGGTTTACTTTCTGGGTTAAGATCAGGCAAACGCATTGGTTGGGAGACCTCTGAATTGGAGGAAGTAAGCGGAAATGGCAACGGGGCACTTCGGTGAAAAAAAGGAAGTGACTTCGCTGTGCCTTCCCGGGAGAGCGACCTCCTCCCGCAGCCTCCGCCTCTGAGGCCCGGCGGAAGGAGTCTAGCGAGGCCGGGGAAAGGCTCCATCTCCCGGTCCCTCTCAACCCTTGCTGAGTCGCGCCATAAAACTCAGAGGTTTTGCGGATCTAACGTAATTTACAAAAACTACCTTTCTGTCCCTGCGTTGTTACCCTCCCAAAGGTCCAGGCGACCCTGCTCTCCTGCGCGCCTGGGTCATTCATTCCGTTCAGTCCTTTCCAGGTTCCCTCTAGTCTCAGGGCCTTACACTTGAAGTCCTTTTCCTAAATCACCTCTGGCCTTCTAAGGCCTGCTCCCTGCACATTGGCGTTCACCTGTCACATTGCAGCCCCGGAAGACTCCGCCTCCCCCAGGAAGCCTTCCCTGGCTCCCAGGCGGGGAGAGGGGGGGTGGGGGGTTCTTCCGGATTGCTCCTTCCACGTGCCCCGCCTGAAGCGCAACTCATTGTGAAATTTCATATTTGTGATTATCTGACCTCTGACTTCGGTAAATAAAGTGTTCCTGAGCACTGCAGAAAACGGGCACAAAAGAGGGTAGTGAAGGATGTTAAGAAACCACCAGGTCAAGGAATATTTGTTGTGCACCTGCTACTTCCCAGTTGGTAAAGAATGCAAGGTTGAACAAGCCCCCAGGCAGCATTCAGTGTAACCTGGGAGGCAAAGGGTCAGAAGTCTGAGCGGGGATCAGACCAGCTGGAAGTACAGACCCTCAATCAGGGGTGAGATCTTTGTTCTTGATAATAATGTTTGTTTACCCTTTAGTGCAGTGATGGGGAACCTTTTGAGCTTGGCGTGTCAGCATTTTGAAAATCCCTAACTTAACTCTGGTGCCGTGTCACATATAGAAATTTTTTGATATTTGCAACCATAGTAAAACAAAGACTTATCTTTTTGATATTTATTTTATAGATTTAAATGCCATTTAACAAAGAAAAATCAACCCAAAAAAAAAGTTCGCGTGTCGCCTCTGACACGCGTGTCATAGGTTCGCCACCTCTGCTTTAGTGTAACTACCCACTGAGATTTACAGTCTCCTCGTGATTAAGTGTCATTTTTATTTTGAAATGTTTATGTCTGCTGAACAGTTATTCCTGTCACTGTGCTGAAATAAGATCAAGCCTCACACTAGTTCACTTAATTGCAAGTAAAGATTTTGACACTGAGTATATTTGTTTGCTCTTTTTTTGTTTGTTCTCTGTGATAATAGATGACATAAAAATTCCAAGTTCCAATGCTGAATTTCTAGGTGGTGGTGCTACTACTACTTGTGGTATCAGTGGCACCGGTTTGACAAAACCAGTCTCTTTTCTATGAATCTAAGAAAAGGCTAGTTCGTATCAATTCTGTACATATTTTTGTACCGTTACTTTGCTCATTATATCAGCAATCCCTGTCAGGTCTGCCTTCCGAACACTTGCAGGCTATTAACATGTAGCACCACCTCCCTACCACCACCCTGGACCAAGCCGCCTATCACCTCTTGCCTGGATTAGTGCATCCGTGGCCTCCTAACTACTAGTACTTCCACCTTTGCTCCCTACAGTGTTGTGTGTGTGTTTATCACCAGAACAAAAGAAGGGACCCTATTATAACCTAAGTCAGATCATCTCACTCTACTCAGTGCCCCTCTATGGCTTCCCATCAGGTAAAAAACCAGCCCTGGCTGCCTGGCCAGTTCTGCTCAGTGGTTAGAGTGTCATCCTCAGGGACTGAAGCGTCTTGGGTTCAGTTCCGGTCAAAGGCACATACCTCAGTTGCAGGCTCAATTCCTGGCCCGGGCAGGGCTCCTACAGGAGGCAATCAATCGATGTGTCTCTCTCACATGAATGATGTGTCTCTCTCTCTCTCTCTCTCTCTCTCTCTCTCTCTCTCTCTCAAAATCAGTGGGGGGGGGGGGGGGGCGGTCC